TTTTGCTTCTCTGCTCCACCTGTGCGCTTCCACAGTCCTCTCCATTCTCTGTCTCGCATTGATTACTCTGATCCAAACCGTGTGGCGGAGGCGTGGAGAGAGCGCGAGCCGAAGCATTGCCAGTCACTCACGACTAACCGATTCATGATTTATTAGAGATTTAATTATCGAATGGCGAATTCGGCAAATAATCGCTTTCGTACATTCGGCAGGCAATTATACAATAATAAAATAGCGGGCCAAATCGGCTGCCAGGCCACCGAGAATTGTCCCGGTTCTCCCGATGGCCAGTCCGAGCCTGATTTCCACAGACACGCAGAACCTGCAGGATTCATATATTGTCTTTTCGCGGCTTAATATTCACAGACACTAGTCCATATCGCGTTTTGATTCAAGCGTACTGACCTACTTTTGATTTATTCGTCCAAAATGTGGCATGTTCCGTCCGCGTTAGGCTCTAGGACTTCCGTTTTTATGACTGGATTCTACGAACAGTCTGTGCTTTCCGCATCGCCGAAATTATGTCTCAGAGTAGCAATTTGGAAAATAAATCAATTAAATCTGTATGTGGATGTGTGTAAATATTCAAATGTAATCCCCTTTGTAATCATTAACATTCAACTGTAATTTAATTACACATTTTTTTCTTAGTAACTGTAACTGATTACAGTTACATTTATTTTGTAATTAAATTACGTAACGCCGTTACATGTAACTAGTTACTCCCCAACACTGTGTATAAGCCACATTAAAAGTAAAGGGTTTTGCGCTTTACACTTAAATTGGAAGAATCTATCATGAAACATCAAGACCCTTATAGTGTAGCTCAAGCATAATGCCAAAAATACTGCTGAACCCAAGAGTCACTGAAGAACCCTTTCGCTTTAAGAGTTTATTCTAGCTATTACGGTCTCTGTCTGAATAAAGGGAGTACAAATGAATAAATGGAGACAGCGTTTTGTTACGCCCTCATAAAGGGTGGTCTGGTGTCTGTGTTGTCCTTCATCAGATGTCTGTTGTTAGTGGCAGTCGTTTTCTCACGCTTTATCTTCACTGTGATCTCTCTGTCTCTCAGGACTATTTCTCTACCCACCCTCTCATACTCTCTCTATCAACGCTTCCCATCCTGGTGGCCCTCAAGAAGCAGCGGGGGCTTGACAAACTCAAACACAGTAACGTCAGCAGCGCAGCGCAGGACAGGCCAGAAACAGCATTCATTGGGATGTTGGTTTGGAGTGAGGTTTGGATGATGGAGACACCTCAAGTTTGAAGAGATCGCTCAGTATCAAGTTTTCAGAAGTGTCTCTGAAATATGGTCAAATGCTGGGGAAAATCCTCCATGAAGGCGGTTGTGTGAACTGCCAAAATTAGGTCTGTCTGCAGAGAAAATATTTGCACAAAGAAATAGAGACCCTGAGGAATGAGAACGAAAGAGAGCTTATTTTTGGAGGTACTCAGTGGTCTGTACTTCTGTTAGGATCTGCTACCAGCCTCAGTCTGACTGGTTGTGGAGTCAGGAAGAGATGCAGAAATACTTCAGTTTGGATGATTCCGTATTATAGACAACACTATCATCAAGCTAAAGTTAGGATGAATTGCTGTGGATCCATTACAAATGACTAAAGTATACTTTAAGCAACACAATACAAGCTTGTGGTGACATTTCAGCAATATATTATGTTGCTACTTGCATTTTTTGCAACACTTTAAAATTGTTTAGTTCTATCCAAAACAGATCAGCATGAATCTGGCAATGTTTTATTACTTCGGGTGTAGTACATATCATGCCATTCGTGTTTGAAAATGATGTAGCTCCTACACTTAACCCTATGCTAAACCTAACTGATAGTGTAAACAAAAGCAAACAAGATACAAATGTATTTGCTATGAAGCAACCATGCCATTTTAGCCTGTTTTCTTTTGTGCTCTTTTTCTGACTTGCATCGAATGCAATGCTTTACCAGGTGTGCTACCAAGCAAGTTTACTATGTCAAAAATGCCATATGTGACCCTGGACCACAAAACCCGTCATAAGGGTACATTTTTTTTAATTTATACATAAGTAATGGAATAAATAAGCTTTCCATTGATGTATGGTTTGTGAGGATAGGACAATATTTGGCCGAGAGACAACTATTTGAAAATCTGGAATCTGAGGGTGCAAAAATATCTAAATATTGAGAAAATCATCTTTAAAGTTGTGCAAATGACGTTCTTAGCAATGCATATTACTAATCAAAAATTAAGTTTTGATATATTTTCGGTAGGAAATTTACTAAATATCTTCATGGAATCTTCATCTTTACTTAATGTCCTAATGATTTTTTGCATAAAAGAAAAATCAATAATTTTGACCCATACAATGTATTTTTGGCTGTTGCTACAAATATACCCCAGCGACTTAAGACTGCTTTTGTGCTCCAGGGTCACATATGAAGCTGGCTGTATGATGCAAATGATAAAAATAGTTTTCAAATCATGCACTATGGTAAAAGTCATAAAGTCAGTATTTTGCAAGGAATTGTGCGAAAATAAGTATTTATGAATTAATAATTTGCCCCGTAATCATAATTTTTGTGAAAAGGAATAACAGTTGGTGGTTTGCTGCCACTAGTGTTCACCTCAGCTTAAAACAGCAGTGAATTGTATAGGTGTGTTTTTAGAGCTTTGCAAAAAAGTTTTTCCAATGAGCCTAGGTTGATTTTAAAGAAATAGTTCATTCAAAAATAAAATGGTGTAACCCTTTTATCATTCCAAACCCATATTACTTGTTTTTAAGAATGTCGAGGCTACTATTTTTCATACAATAGCAGTTGACCAGGATCTGTTAAACTCCAAAAAGGAGATATAAAAGCAAAAGCTTGTGATTTAAACCCATCATCTTTACTTACTCTGGGAAAACAGACAAAATATGAATCACTTTGTTAATCAGTATTTATTTTGGTCCAAATCAATACTCTTTAGAATAAGCATGTCCTTCCCCCAATACCACCTGCCACTGACTAACAATAGCTAGTAGCAAATCATGGCTTTGCTGAGCTGTGATGTAAACTGATGTCAATTGGCTAGTTACATACAGTGACGTGACAGTGACGTGACATGAGGCCAAGTATGATGACCCATACTTGTAATTAGTGCTCTGCATTTAACCCATCCTAAGTGCACACACACAGCAGTGAACACACACCCGGAGCAGTGGGCAGCCATTTATGCTGCGGCGCCTGGGGAGCAGTTGGGGGTTCGGTGCCTTGCTCAAGGGCACCTCAGTCGTGGTACTGAAGGTGGGAGAGGGCGCTATTTAGTTCAAATGCGTGTGTGTTTGGGTGTGTGTGGTCAGCATGTGATCAGTGACTCTAGCTGAGAGAGTAAAAGTTGATGCTCAAGTGTGTGTGTGTGGGTGTGTGTAGGGTCAGGTCAAGGGTCACTGAGTCCTAATCGACACAACTCTCCATCCACAGACTCCTCACTGCAGGCATCGTGGCAACAGGGGTCAGCGGGGTCCCGAGGGTTACCGGGGGTCAGGGGATTGAAGAAGATGGGCCACACAGAGATCACTCTCACAACTTCTATCACTCCAAATACTCTTCATCTCTTCAATGCATTCAGTAACCTCTCAAAGACCCCATGAAAAGGTCTGAGAAGCAGTTTTTTTCTCTTTGTTGACGTATGTCCTATATAGGAAGTTGGGGAGGGATATATTGATGAGAATAATATAAATATGTGTATTTATTACAAGTTAATTTATCATACTGATGGCCTCAAACTGGAAGTTAATGACACCAAACACCATTGGTCCTCATAACTGATCATGCAGAAAGTTGAAATTCCTTAATGTACTTTACTGAGGTGAGTCTGGAAACAACCACCCTGTACACGCAATTCACGATTGTACAAACTGTTTACTCGCACAATTTACCCACATACACTGGTTTTAGTCTAATGGCCATTGGTCTTAAAAGCCCTGTGTGTCTGTATGCCAATTTCCCTCAGATGTTCTCAGCAGAAACCTGTCTTTAACACATGCAGGTTGGTAGAAGGGCCATTACACAGCATCTAAACATGTGAGGCACACAAACACTGAGCTGGGATTGTTAACGGCAACTTATATTCACATCCGTCCTCCATTTATTGCGGCTGGTTGTACAACCAGGTTGTTTATAAAGCATTAACTCAAATAGATTATTAAAGAAAACACAACGTGTTCATGAAACAGGGACCACACAGACAGACTAGAGGCTAATGTTCATACGGAGGTGCATTAGCTCTGCTTGGAAGTCAGATGTAAATATAACATGTCAGTAAAATGGAAATGTTCATTTAATTTAATGCTGTTATATGTTTAAATCTGGACCATTGCGTACATTAATAGGGTCTGAGGGCGATTTTGTTATGGGATGTCCCCCGATGAGTTATATAAAAGATATAACAATATAACAGACCCTTAGTGGTCCCCCATTGTCACAGAAACTGGTTGTCCCCCACAAATCTTAATAAATAAATAAAGCATTATAAAATATGTAATGTACTGTATTATTATTAGTTACACGATTATTATTTTTGTTGATATTATTTGTAGTATGCGTGATTTTTGTTCAATCTCGTTTTTTCTAGAATAATATAATGACATTTCCCGGGAAAGTAAAATATGTAGCTCACGGCAACAAACTTTCCACCAATCAGAGCGCAGAAACCAACTCCGTTACTGCCACTAACGTGGAGTTTCAGAAACTTTCCACCAATCAGAGCGCAGAAACGCGTTCCCTGTCCGGCCAACAGCCAATCAGAGCGCAGAAACGCGTTCCCTGTCCGGCCAACAGCCAATCAGAGCGCAGAGCCAGTCTCCTGTAGAGAGTAACATGGAGGAGCAGACTGAGCTGAGCTTTACAAACACAGCGAGCAGAGAACATTAAAGCAGCTCCTAACCTGTGCGTTTCGTCGGTTTTGTTTCGAAGAAAGGCGTTTTTCTGAGGTGATGAGGATGTTGGGCATGTATGTGCCGGACAGATTCGTGCTGAAGTCCTCTAAAGTTCAGGACGGGATGGGGCTGTACACTGCCAGAGCAGTCCACAAGGTTCGTGCATACAAAACTAACTCTCAGCATGAAAGAAGAAGTATGCGTAGTGCAGTAATAAAAGCGCTTCTTTTTCAGCCGGCTGTTTTTACTCCGCACATAATGTATTAAGTATAAGCGGCTGGTTGTAGTTGCATTCCTCTGTGTATGTGCTTACGTGTGCTGCCACGTCCCTGACAAACAATCTCCATGGTAACCGTCGTTTCCGCCAAAAGTCCATCATGCCAACCACCATTTCCGCTGTAGCATGCAGACTGTGGGAACCTGTTATTAGCTTCCTGTTAGCCTCCACTGGCTTTTAAATAAATACATACATTAAATAGTTTACTCTGTTTGAAAGAGAACCGTATTAACTTGTGACCTTTCAGAAAATACGTTTTTTTAAACTAACAGTAGCCTAAAACCTACATACATATACACACACACACACACACATATATATATATATATATATTTGCACATAATTACACTTATATAAAAATACTTATTATTGAAATAATATACTGTACAAGAATATACTTAAGGACAAACTAAATGTAATGATTTCAGAAACTTAACTGCATGTTATTTACAATTAAATGAAAATGTGTTAAAGGGGTCATATGCGATTTCAAGCTTTGCTTTCTCTCTGGAGTGTTACAAGCTGTTCGTGAATAGATAAGATCCCTAAAGATGCAAAGACTAAAGGCCCGTTCACACCAAGCACGATAACTATAACGATAACGATATAGTTCTAAAAATCGTTCTCAATATTAAAGAATAGCATAGTTCACACCACAGCTAGAACGATAACGATACAGAGGAACGATATCAAAACGTTTTTTTTTCCAGCTGATGAACGATAAAACACTGACAGCCAATCAGAATCCATTCTGCTGTAACAAGCTCAAGAATTTTTAAGAGGCAGACGCATGTGCGTTTAGAATAAACAGACAATATTGTTCGCTGTGTGGACGCTAATATCGTTATCTTTATAGTTATCGTTCTTGGTGTGAACGGGGCTTAAAGGCTGATTTATACTTCTGCGTCGGACCTACGCCGTAGCCTTTACGCCGTAGGCTATGCGTCAGTTTTCATTTATACTTCTGCGTCGTCTTAACTTTTATAAAGAATATCTCTTTGGATTTGAGACTTTAGTCTTTGCAACTTTACAGATCTTCTTTATGCACCAAGAGCTTGTTACACTCCAAAAGGAAAAGGAAAAGAAAGGAAAAATTGAAATCGCATCATATGACCCCTTTAACTTAACCTGCTAATATCACAGATGTTGTGCCGAATTCTGCACCCCTGCCAGATTTATGCACCCCCTAGTATTGGTAGGTTTAAAGGTAGGTTAGCAATATCAAGCTAGCTTTGAATTATGCTCTCCCTGCATAATCACTCTCCAAAGCCACGCCTCCTCATAAACACATGAACATGCACAGGCAGAGCAGAGGCTAAGCAGTGACACGATGAGAGATGGCGTTGGTGGAGGGTTGAGTGCAGCGCTGTCAGAAAACATTACAGTACAAAGCGCATAATATTACAATAATAACGCCTTCCATTCTCGCTCGGTCTGCAGTAGCATAGGGCTGGACGATATGGCCAAAATTTATATCATGATATATTTCTTAATTTCGGTCGATACGATATAATTCCGATATCGATATGAACACTACCTGAAATATAAATCTTTTGTAACATTATAAATGCCTTTATCATCAAGGATCATGTGACACTGAAGACTGGAGTAATGATGCTGAAAATTCAGCTTTGATCACAGCAATAAATTACATTTCATAGAAAGCAATTTTAAATAGTAAAAATATTTCAAAATTTTACTGTTTTTGCTGTACATTGGATCAAATAAATGCAGACTTGGCGAGCAGAAGAGAATTCTTTAAAAAAACAAAAAAAAAAACATTAAAAACCTTACTGTTCAAAAACTTTTGACTGGTGGTGTAGGCTGATTATTGTTATAGATTGAAACAAATGTGCTTCAGCCAGGATAAAGAATAAGAAAAGTGCTCTGAGTTGCTGCAGAAAACAAAAAAATTGAGCAACAACAAAAACATGTTGCAGGAGATAGGCTTATTATTGAAAATGCAAACTCATTCTCTGCCAGCTGGAGGCGCTTTTAGAGTGATAAAACTAGTGGTTTCCCCGGTAACGGCTGTTATCAAAGCGGCTCCGCTATTGAACGCTACTTTATCAGATAAAAATGAAAATGTCATTGAAACTTTTCTGAAGACAGTCGGTTCCCTTCAGAGATCATATAAAACACCCGTGCCGCATTTTGATTTTGAAACGGGCAGTGCTCATGTTTATTCAACGAAGTCAAACGCCACAAATAAATAAATGTATGGGAAACACTGGTAATGTATATCAAAATATCGGAAATGTCTTTAAAAATCATATCACCATTATTGAAAAAAAATTATATCTCGATACATATTAATATTGAATTATCGTCCAGCCCTACAGTAACGTAATGGAACGCGCTGATGACGTATCATGTCTGCGCAAACATGGTGCGCAGAGGTATGCAAATATATTTTGACAGGCAGGCAGGACAGCCTATCTTAATGTTCAGACCAAACATTTAGATTTTATGGTCCTACTCCTTCCACAGACGATATAGCCAAAGCAAAGCATTTTTAGCCAGCTGAAAATGCCAGGCGCTCAGCTGAAAAGGTTTTTTTTCAGTTGAGATGCTTTGGTTGCTATGATACTGAATATTGGCAGAAGTAATGTGGCAGACGCATCGTGAATGACATTGCAAGCATTATTTTTCATATCAATATTCATAGTAGTCCGGGTATCCCATCTAATACAGACATGAATACTTGTTGACAAGCAATATTAACGTCTCCTCCATTGTTGTTTAGCCGTAGTACAAGCAGGGTGTGACAGTTGGTCGGTGTGGTATTAGTCCTGCCCCTCTTCCACTGTGATTGGACATCTGACTAAAAAGTGACAGTGATGAGCGCTGCTTTTTACCCAAAGTTGAACATTCTTTAACTCTCGGCGCCAAGAAAAAAACACCCGAGTGCTCAGCGTGAAAAAGACGCTCAGTGCTCGGCATGCTCCTGGCATTTTAAAAAACGCAGTGCTCCCATTGAAAACAATTGAAAACACGCCAGCCTCGGGAAAAAAACACTTTGGTGGACACGCGGCCTAAATACATTTAGATCATTTAACTTAGTGATTGCTATCGGGATGTGAAGAGACTTTCAACAAGCATAACAAACAATGTTTTTGAACCAAATCACCTACCCTGCCTTTAAGAGTAGATGTGGGGGAGGGGTTAGGATTAGGCAATCAGGTTGGGACTTCAACAAGAGGGTAATAATTTGGCAGGGGTGCAGAATTTGGCATAATACCGGCAGCCTCAGATTATTGTTGTTTCACATTCACAGCATGTTAAAACATCACACTCTTACTTGATCTGGACAAACCGTGTATCATTAGAAAGATTAAAGACTCCAGCTTCGATATTTGACCACTGTTAAATGATAAAACTTTGCTGCAGTTATAGTAATTTCTTCATTTATGTCAGGAGTGCAAAATAATCAATCAGTAATGTATGATATTTTGAATACAATAACAACATGCATTAATATTCAGTCACGTCTGCTGCGGTTTATTTGTGGTCACATAGCTTCACTGAACAGCGTCCATTAGAGCTTAGTGTCCAAAAGTGTGCATACTTGTAGAAATATTGATATATTTACACATGTTTACTTAATATTTCTTTAGACAGAATCACAATTTATATAAATTTTGCCACCACGAAGTGTCGTACGCTTAGGGCTGCACGATTAATCGAATGCGATTGTCATGCGCATCTTGTCAGTAAAGCCGGTTCTGTAGTAAGTCTCCAGCACGTGCTTTCAGATGGAGCAGTGTTTACTACACAGAGCCGTAGTTCACTGACAAGCTACGCAAAATTGCATTCATAATCGCAGACGATTTAATCTCGCGATTATGAAATCGAAAGAAATCATTCCCGATAATGAAAGCTGTTTGCGTAGCTTGTCAGTGAACTATGGCTCTGTGTAGTAAATGCTGCTCCATCTGAAAGCATGTGAAAATAAGTGTTTGAAATAAATCCTTCTGTGAGATGATGTGGCTTCTTACACAGAATAAGGCACGCAACACATTTCATAGAATTCCAAGCAGTGATAAAGGCTATGTCGATTAGCATTGCATTATTATACTTTATTATAATAAAAATTATAAGAAGACGAACTCCGATAAACCATATATTGTCGTAGTCGTGTGTTTATTAGTCACGTTGAATTAATGAAAGCAGTTAAATCTTCTGTTTATTCAGCAACCGTTATAGGCATTTCCTGGGTTTCTTCTGGCATTTTCGGTTTATTTGGAGTTTCAGCGCGAGAGCGCACTCTGGTCTTCGGATGGAGATTTACTGCTGATCACAGAACCGTGCTTCACTGAAAGATACGCATTACAATCGCATTTTCTGCCTAATCGCGATTTATCGCCTTTGCGATTACATTTCGATTAATCATGCAGCCCTACGTACACTTGCAGAACACAAGCTTCTGGAGGGCGCATAAGTCTGAACTAACGAGTTTAGATATATTGGTGCAGCAGCCATGGTTGTCTTGTAGGCACACATCAGTACCTTGAATTTGATGCAAGTGGCTATTGGCAGCCAGTGCAAACTGACGAAGAGAGGTGTGATGTGGACTTTCTTCGGCTTGTTGAAGACCACTCTCGCTGCTGCATTCTGGATCAGTTGCAGAGGCTTGATAGTACATGCCGGAAGGCCTGCCAAGGGCGCATAACCATAGTCCGATATGGAGAGAACAAGAGCTTGGACAAGGAGTTGTCTGCTCTGATAGGAAGGATCTAATCTTCCTAATGTTGTATATGCCAAATCTGCAGGACCGTGCCGTTGTAGCAATATGGTCTGTGATGCTTAACTGCTCATCAATCACAACTCCAAGTTTCCTGGCTGTCCTGAAAGGAGTTATGCTTAACGAACCTAGCTGTATAGAGAAGTTGTGATGAAGTGCTGGGTTGGCTGAGACCACGAGCAATTCTGTCTTAGCAAGGTTGAGTTGAAGGTGATGGTCTTTCATCCATCCAGAAATATCTGTCAGACACGCTGCAATGCGAACAGCTACCATTGGATCATCTGGTTGGAATGAGAAGTAGAGTTGAGTGTTATCAGCATAGCAGTGATAGGAAAAGCCATGTTTCTGAATGATAGATCCTAATGATGACATGTAGATAGAGAAGAGAAGTGGTCCAAGCACTGAGCCCTGAGGAACCCCAGTAGCAAGAAGTTGTTATTTCGTGGCCTAATGGTTAGAGAGTCGGACTCATAACCCAAAGGTTGTGGGTTCAAGTCTTGTACCAGCAGGAATTGTAGGTGGGGGGAGTGAATGTACAGCACGCTCTCTCCCACCTTCAATACCACGACTGAGGAGCCCTTGAGCAAGGCACCGAACCCCCAACTGCTCCCTGGGCGCCGCAGCATAAATAGCTGCCCACTGCTCCGGGTGTGTGTTCACAGTGTGTGTGTGTGTTCACTGCTGTGTGTGTGCACTTTGGATGGGTAAATGCAGAGCACTAATTCTGAGTATGGGTCACCATACTTGGCCACATGTCAAGTCACTTTTTTTTTTTTTTTCACTTTTTTTAATTTATTTTTTTTGGAAACCTCATCCATCCAAGACACCCTGAAGCACCTACCTGAGAGGTAAGAATTGAACTGCTGTAGTGCGGTTCCTGAGATGCCCATCTTCACGAGGGTGGACAGGAGGATCTGGTGGTTAACTGTGTCAAAAGCAGCTGACAGATCCAGCAAGATGAGTACTGAGGATTTGGAAACTGCTCTTGCCAGTCTCAGGGCTTCAGTAATCGAGAACAGGACCATCTCAGTTGAGTGGCGGCTTTTAAAGACAGATTGTCCAGGAGGTTGCTCTGTGCAAGAAACATAGAGAGTTGGTTGAACAAAACTCGCTCAAGTGTCTTTGCAGTGAATGTAAGAAGGGATACTGGTCTGTAGTTTTCTAAAAGCGCTGGATTTAGAGAGGGTTTCTTAAGCCACGCGATACGCATGAGAACAAAGGCAACTTGAATACGCCATTACCACGGTAAACACAGTAAGCAAAACAATGTTTCCTAGCAATGACAACTGCGTTAAAATCTAATGAGAAAAGAAACAAAACACTTACAAACTGCTGTCCTCTTCTGTTGCTCGACTGCTTCTTCATATGTCAAATAAATAATGATAAAACAATAATGAGGATTATGTCTCATACCTGGCAGAGGTCGCAACTCAAAGAGGAGAAAATACTGTAGCAGGCATTAGAAGCTCATTATGCAAAACACTGGATGAAAATCCTAAAAAAATGCAGTGGTTCTGCAACTTTTTCATGCATTCTGATTCATATAAAGGCTCAGTCAGGGAAAAACAGTGATTAATCTGTGAAACCACCACAATCCTAAAAAAAAAAAAAAAACCTGATACAGATTTTTTTGTCAAACCGCCCAGCACTACTTGACATCACTCAAAAATTTGTATGAGTGGAGAATCAACTTAAACGACTCTTAAAGATCCCCAGAGCCTTTCCTTGATCGTTTTCAGATACCACACTGAAACTGCTGGATGTGATGTCAAAGCCTAATCACACACACACACACACACTCGCTCTTTCTTCACAGGGTGAGAAGTTTGGACCATTTGCAGGTGAAAAGCGGATGCTGAGTGACTTGGATGAAAGCATGGATCCACGACTGATGTGGGAGGTGGGTGACTAGACTCAACAATCATTCCATTGCTTTACCCACAATGCATTGCTATACGTTTTTTGAGTTTGTGTCACTTTGGAGCACTTCAAAGGCAACTCATATCTTGTCAAACATTTATTAAATGCCAGTTTATATCTTGGCTATTTTATGACTGTACAACATTTATGTTTTTCTGAAGAGAATGTGAGTGGTTGCCCATACAAACTCACAATTACCATGCTAGGCTGTTGGGAGTGATTGTCCGAGTGTTCATAATTCAATTGCTATGGTTGATATATGGTTTGCTAGGTATTAGCTAGAGGTTTCTCTTTCTTTTATTCACATATAAACATTAATCAGTGCATACATCAGTTATGAGGTTCATTCTTGTGTGTTACGTTTGAGCTTTTGTAAGAACAGGTTTGTTCTCACATGTTAAGCAAACGTAAACATAAACTTCTGTTTATGTTTGCCAATCAGTGTTTATATATGAATAAAAGCCTACATTGAATCTGTTCATCATATAAAGCGATTGAGTCTCTTCAGAAAATTTGAACTGAAACGCTCGATTCCTATGGATTAGTTTTATGATCTCTTTATGAACTTTTTGAATCATCAAAGTAGTAGTTGCATGAACTGTCAATGGAGTGACAGAAATCTCTCAGATTTCATTAAAAATATCTTAATTTGTGTTCTAAAGATGAACGAAAGTCTTACGGGATTAGAACATTTCCGGCAAATTTCAGCAAACTTTCCAAAAGTTTCTGAAAATTTTCAAAAATTTCTGCACGTTTCCAAAGAAACCTCTGTAAAGTTCCCAGAAATTGAATGGAATTCACCCCCTCCCGCCCCTCCTGCCCTTCCCGCCTTTTACAGGTGTAACGGCATGAGGGTGAGTAAGTAATGACCAAATTTTAATTTGTGCGTGAACTATCCCTTTTAATTTATATTTTTAAAAGACTTTCATTTAATATAATATTAAAGAAATTAAAGGCCACTTAAGTGACTTAAAGAGTGTTTGCTTTCATGACTATTTTTATTAATACATAAGTGCACTTTTACCATATTTCAAAGACAATTTAAGTAATTCTAAAAAGATTCTGATACAAATTCTGATAAAGATAAGTCCTACTTAAGTGGGTCAAAAACACTGTTAAGTTAACTGCATTTAATATAAATTTAAACTATTATACATTTTCGGTAATTTGCAGTTAGTATGTCTGATATGTTACATTCATTTAGCACTTAATTATATTCTGTTAAAGTATATACTTTCTGTAATAAGTACTCTTTTTAAAGGTCTGCTAAAGTTTGCTTCTTCTTCACAAGGTTGATTTGGCTTAATTCTCTCATTCATTGTAAATCTCTTAGACTTTTTTGCCTGTTTTATTGTTCACCCGACAAAAACACCTCTCAACAAGTCACATGATTTGTGCTTTCATTCATGTCTGTCTAGCACAAACAGTGCGGGATGAGTTACAAACCAAAGTTTAATACTTGGGGTTAGAGCTTTGTTCAGACAGTACTAAAACTAATAGTGATGTCTTTGCAAAGACTACTAAAATGGTTTTCAATTTTGATTCCACCAGTTTGTATCTCTGTGACTGAGATTACCGAGGGCTGACTGAATCTTAACCATCTTGGAGAAGTTGCTGCCCCTCTTGTTCAGACAGACGCATCACTGCTCATCTCCAGGCAACCATTAATTGGACGAGACGTGCCAGCATGAACTCCGCTCACGCTGACTCTCCCATGCCAGACACGTCTCCCAGTGCATGCCGTATCTAATATCCCATCAAATATCTGCTCTTGAAAGATTTGGCTTTATTTTCGGCTGCATAAAAGTTGTAATTATAACGCAGACCAGGTTGGGTTCAGCCACATTAGACTTGTGATTTATTGATCTGCCTGCCCTGATGACACTATTCTGCCTAAAGTATAGTGAGCTTAAGTCTTAAATTACACACTTGTGCATATAATTATTATGATAGATCATCTTAGTATACTATCTTTCACTGTGCTGCTCTTTCATCCTGCTTGTGTGTTGTGATGCAGGCAATTTCAGGGAATTTACCTTTCAAGATTAGTCAGAAGAAGTCGCTATTAGTCAGCATTTCAGTAAGTTAAGAACGAGAAATGTCTTAAAATAATAATTTGGTCGGACAAAGGTACTCGTCAGATTTGGGAAAAGAGCATTCCTGTGGGACGTGAGCAATGTTCCTGATTTAAGGCTGAAATTGTGTACACTCTCAATGTAATATTGTTGTGTAAGCACATTGGTTAGTAAAAACTTTATATTGAAATACATTGTCACTGGATAGTCTTGCCAACCTGGCTGTATCAACAAATAATGTAATTATACTTGCACAATACTGATTATATTATGGCTGATAAATAAATAAAAAAACTAAATAAATTAAAAAATAAAACACTAAAATTGAAATGAATTAAGGCATCATGACATTACAATGTGCAGAATGAAAAAAGGAAATTCATTTTCAGATTTTATAAAGATTGCAGTGTCTCAAGACACGGTTCGTTAAAGTTTAATTTCTTTTAACTTGAGCTCCATGTTGTTAGAACCGTGTATCACGTGCGAGGCGCTGTGAAAGACGCACTGATCAAACCACATCTGTCTAATGCATGCTTACATAGAAAAACAATGGAAAAGTAGCGGAATGGAAAAACGTGTGTGAACGGCCCCTTAGTGTTTTTAAAGATTATTATAAGTATGACAAGAAAACCAACTTCCCCTAAAACTTTCATTTATCTTTTTATTATTTATAATAATCTATTAGATGTGACTCTTGGTGCATTTTGCAGTATTTTAGTTAATAAAATAAGATAAAAAAATATCACAGCACTATTATGCTTTTTATAACCTGCTTTAATGTACATGGATCTGTGGGGTGGATTCAGTGGATACACAGCCTATAGAGCCTCACTGAAGTCATGTTTCACTGCAAGATTATGGCAGATAGTGGTACCATTGATCTTCATCTATGTTTACTGGAGAAGAGGCTATAAATGTGTAATTTTGGGTCCCACCTGGACGCTATGCAATTCATGAAAGCATCTTGCGTGGTATTTGGATAAAGCTTTGGATTGTTCATTGGACACTATATTTCAATGACTGTTTAGAGGTTGTTGAGAAGCAGCTTTGAGGAGCAACATTGCCACTTGGATTCTGATTGAATGGCTTGTAACCTTTGAATCTGTGCACTTCTGCAGGTTCGAGGGAATAAAGGTGACGTGCTGTATATCCTAGACGCTAGTAACCCTCGCCATGCTAACTGGCTTCGCTTTGTTCATCAGGCCCCTTCACAGGAGCAGAAGAACCTGGCCGCCATTCAGGTATGACAAGATGCCACAGCCTGATAACCACAGAGATCTCTTTACACTCTCTCACATACACACTGTTGCTAGGTACTGACTACATTGGCAGCTGCCTTCTTAAGAACTTTATTTGAGTGACTGATTTGGAACACTGTATGGACAAAAAGTCTGCCTGTCAACCTACAAGAAGTGTAAGTAAGGTTTGGCGCTAAGGCCTGACTAATTGAGTTTTGGGTTAGCATGTTGCTAAGCTAACACTGCGACACTCTAAAGGTGTGGTCACATTTACATGTGAGAGTAAAAGGTGACCAACAGAGCTGTGTGAGCTGTGCTTAATACATCGCCACACTATCAATAATAGACAATGGACTTTTTTCTGTATTTTTTTTAATTTTTTGCATTAGTCCACCCCAAAATGAAAATTTGCTGAAAATGTATTCAACCTCAGGCCATCCAAGATGTAGATGTTTCTTCATCAGATTTGGAGAAATGTAGCATTACATCACATGCTCACCAATGGATGCTCTGCAGTGAATGGGTGCCGTCAGAATGAGAGTCCAAACAGCTGATAAAAACATAGCAATAATTATGGGCTCATATTTTGGCCAGAAGTGATGGGTTTGTTTCTTACAAACACGCAGCAGTTCTCTTCTCAATATGTTAATTGATGGACTGGAGTGGTGTGGATTACTTGTGGATTATTGTGATGTTGTTTAAATTAGCTAAAAAATATTTGTTAAAATTATTCTAGAACAAAGCATAATTGCCAGTCAGTTTTTGCAAGGGCACACCTTAAAGGGGACATCGGATGCAAAATTCACTTTTACATGGTGTTCACATATAAATGTGTTTTAGCAGTGTGTGGACACAACCACCCTACAATGATAAAAATCCATTCACTACTTTTTTTAATCCTCAGAAAAACCTAATTCGTCTCGATAATCAATCGTTTTGATTTTCTGAGCAATATGACGTCATACTGCTCAAGCCCCGCCCACGGCCGCTGATGGACAGTGTATGTTGCAGACATTTCAAGAAGACCCTAAAGAATCACACCAACTTGTGGAAAATGGGCATCCGATGTCCCCTGTAAAGTGCTGCCTACGTATTGCCTCCAATTGTTCTTCATGCCGGGTTGACCCTGCACCTACTTTCCTCTTGAAACACTGTACCTCTATCATTTCTGCTCCAATTTCACATTCATGTCTCTTATCTCTGTCACTGTTCCAGTTTCACCTAAAACTGCTGCTGTTACTCGTATTCTTAAGAAACCAAATCTGGACCCAACTGACTACGCTAACTATCGCCAATCTCCAATTTACCGTTTGTTTCAAAAATCATGGAAAAGGTTGTCACCATTCAACTACAGTCAATTCTAACTCTCAACGATCATTTTGATATATTTCAGCCAGGTTTCCGCTAGCAACACAGTACTGAAACTGCTTTAGTAAGAGTTATAAATGACCTTCTATTTTCTGGTGACTCGGGCAGTCTTTCCATACTCGTATTACTTGATCTCAGCTCAGCTTTTGATACTGTCTGTCATAAATTATTACTCATGTGCCTCTCAGAGATTGGCATCTCAGGAGCTGCATTATCCAGGTTTTCCTCCTATTTGACAAACAGACAATACTACATCTCAATCTCCAACTTACCGTTTGTTTCAAAAATCATGGAAAAGGTTGTCGCCATTCAACTGCAGTCAATTCTAACTCTCAACGATCATTTTCATATATTTCAGTCAGGTTTCCGCTCGCAACACAGTACTGAAACTGCTTTAGTAAGAGTTATAAATGACCTTCTATTTTCTGGTGACTCGGGCAGTCTTTCCATACTCGTATTACTTGATCTCAGCTCAGCTTTTGATACTGTCTGTCATAAATTATTACTCATGTGCCTCTCAGAGATTGGCATCTCAGGAGCTGCATTATCCAGGTTTTCCTCCTATTTGACAAACAGACAATACTACATCACCATGCATAACTATAAATCTCCCACTGTCTTACTCAAACAGGGTGTACCACAGGGCTCAGTTCTAGGGCCGTTATTATTTATTATTTACATTTTGCCCCTCGGACAAATTATTTGCCACCATGGTTTTCAGTACCACTGCTTTGCCGACGATATTCAGATACAGTGGGTACGGAAAGTATTCAGACCCCCTTAAATTTTTCACTCTTTGTTATAATGCAGCCATTTGCTAAAATCATTTAAGTTCATTTTTTTCCTCATTAATGTACACACAGCACCCCATATTGACAGAAAAACACAGATACTACATCACCATGCGTAACTATAAATCTCCCACTGTCTTACTCAAACAGGGTGTACCACAGGGCTCAGTTCTAGGGCCGTTATTATTTATTATTTACATTTTGCCCCTCGGACAAATTATTTGCCACCATGGTTTTCAGTACCACTGCTTTGCCGACGATATTCAGATACAGTATACACGGCTTGCCAACCTGATTCTATTCACCAGACTTCACTTCTATTGTCATGCGTCAACAAGTTAAAGATCTGGCTTAACTCCAATTCTCTCAGTTTGAACTTGACTAAAAACGAAATCTTACTTGTCGGCCCCCCCCCCCCCCCCCAAAAAAAAAAACTAATGCCCCCAGATTTGACCTTGAAGCTACATCAATTATTCCATCTGCCACCGTCAGAAACTTAGGTATCGTTCTTGACTCTTCTTTAAATCTAGATTCTTATATTAGTAAACTCTCTAAAGCTGCATTTTTTCAACTTCGCCGTATTGCCAAACTCCGTTCCTTCATCAGCCCAAAAGATGCTTAATCACTAGTACATGCATTTATCACATCTCGCCTCGATTACTGTAACACTCTTTTTTTCCTGGACTACCAGTGCGCTCCATCTCCCCTCTGCAATATATTCAAAATTCTGCTGTGAGAATGTTAACTTACACTAAACAGTCTGCTCACATCACTCCTATTCTATTTAACCTCCACTGGCTACCTGTGTCCTCTCGTATTATTCATAAAATTCTTCTGCTTACTTTAAAGTCACTCTGTGGTCTTGCACCTACTTATTTCTCTGATTTACTTTCTCCATATACTCCCTCTCGACCACTTGATCATCTGGAGGTGAACTTCTCTGTGTTCCGAGATTTTGCCTATCATCTATGGGAGGTAGATTTTTCTCCGGTTATGGCTCCTAAACTTTGGAATTCACTTTCCCTGTCTCTTAGGACAATTACCATACTGCATGAATTTAAGTCTAAACTCAAAACCTACCCGTTTAACCAATACTACCGGGAACAATATGTCTTTTCTTAAACTGTTCTGGTTCTCTGCTTGTATTTGATTGTTTGTACTACTGTGATATGCAGCAATTGCACGTCTTAGACTTGGCAAATGTCCATTGTCCATTTAATTGATTATGTATGCAATTATTGTTTTTCTGCTACTCTCGTTGTGAAGCATCCTTGAGCTTGGGAAAGGTGCTATATAATTAAACATATTACAAATGAAACATATTACGTAGGCCACTCATTAGGTTTTGGTTCAGAGCCACGGAGTATGAGAGCAGCTTTGCATAAGGCTTTGAAACAGAGGCAGAAAGCAGAGGGAATGAGATGGAGTGAGTTGTTTGTTATATCTGGCAGTGTTGATGTGCTTTTGCAGTGCCAGAGATCTGAAAACACCAGAGTGTGGAGATAAGAGAAGTGTAATGAGCCTTAGATGAATAACACACACACACACACACACACCGGGACATGTGGACATGCACATGTGGGCGTACACATTGAGGCCACATGAGTTGGATATGGCAGTTGAGTAGTAACCAATTATGCAGTGACCTGGCAACCTCCAGTCAGTATTAATGCACCTGTAGCACCTTGTGATTCAGATGAAATGATGGGAATAATGCTGTGATTGCAGAATGATTTCACAGCTCATCTCAACACGTAAAAACATATCTTTGCGGTTATCATGCAATAGCTCGCTGGAGGGTTCACTATAGAATCAATCACAACAAAAACAGAATGTAAATGTGCAGAATGATTCTGCATGCTAGATGTGTTCCTAGGGTTGCATGATAATGGTAATGGTTAAACTGATAATTATTAAAACTGATAATTATCTTAATGATTACTTTGCTCAAACATTATAAATGTGAATATTAATCAAAGTTGTCATTTAAGAAATTTCTTCTTAATTTCACGTAAGCACCAATCAAGGGGATATTTACTTAAATGCCTAGTTTATTTGATCTAATCTAGTTTACTGATTTATTTATCATGTACATTAACATGCTCTCTACCTTATTAAAACTGGTATAAAGAATCTTCTATTCAAAGCTAAAAGAGTGAAATAACTAATTTTATTTCAGATAATTGCAATTAATATTCCAGTATTTAAAAAAATGTATGAAAAATGTGTGAAACGTTCAGTAAAATTTCAACAGCAGCAATCTTACTGTTGAAATTGCGGTCATTTTTACAGTCACTTTCATTTATGAAGAATATCTCAGTAAATATGGCTAAACTCCAGCATACTGTTTGATTATGCTTAATTAATCTAGAGAAGCTGAAATTGTGATGTTTGCAGTTAAAATATGATTAAGTGAAGTCCTATGGGTTCCCAAAATATCAAGATTTTGTATCTGTAACATTTTGTCTTATGTTTTTTCAATAAACTTTAATGTATAATATACTATTATAATACTTTACTATGCTAACTATAAATGATTAATCATTCAATTTAATAGTATATTGAATGCTTTTTTTTCCCTGAATTTTTTTCACATGGATGGATGCAGGCTCATTTGCTTTGCATTGCATTGTCTGTGAATGGGTCTCTGGTGAGTTTGAGATGTTGGCAATCTGATGGCCATTACAGCAGAATCAAGAGAACAGAGTCTGTGTTTCGTCACACATGACACTTCTCTCACCATCTCCCTGTGGATAAATCTGTGACTGTGTTTTTAACATAATGTACGGCAACTATGCTTATTTCTGCATGACCTTTTAGGAAATGAAGGTCTGATGAAGTCATTAAATGGGGGTTCAAGTGTTTGGCCTTTGACCTTAATCAGGAAGCGCTGCTGATCTTACGCTTCCCCTCGTGTGAATGTGTGATTGAGCCTCCAAGCAGATCACTGTTGTGTTTTCTGTTCAGTGTCAGACGACACCTGGATCTTTGCTTTTCAATGTCTAATACACACACACACACAAACACACACACACAGACACACAGACAGACACACAGACAGACAGACAGACAGACAGTTACTTCTGATCCTTTGATTGGCTGACAGGTCAATCAGCACGGTATCAGCACAGGAACCGATAATATATTGAAAATGAACCAGTGAAACGTTTGCTGACTGCTTTAACTCAAGTTAATAAACTTGTAGGTGTGCAATAAAGTGCAGTTGTTTTCATAGTCATGGAAAACCTGGAAATACTGTATTAGGTGATTTCAAAAGCCTGGAAATTAATACAGAAACATTAAAAGTTATGGATGAGTCGAATCCTCGTACGAGCTGCATTTACCTCTGAAGATGTTTTAGTGTTACTGGAGTCATTTAAATCTAACTTCAAGGATTGGCATGTGATGCCTACAAATGGAAGATCATTCTTTCTGTATGCAGTAATCATCAATTTAATGTGATATAGAAATTTGACTGATACCAAGAGCTTATATTTATGTTTAATATGGCTCACACCATATATACACTATCATTGAAAAGTTTGTGGTCGGTAAGATTTTTAAATGTTTTTGAAAGCAGCCTCTTCTGCTCACCAGGACTGCATTTATTTGATCAAAAATACAGTAAAAACAGTAATATTGTGAAATATTATTACAATTTAAAATAACTGTTTTCTATATGAATTGTCAGGATCCTGGACTGTCTGTGTTGTGTGTTTGCTCCCCATGTTCTCTGCTACCTAGTTTTCCCGTGTGTTTGATTGTTCATTGTTTCCAGTTGTGTCTCCTTATTAGTTTATCCTCCTCACCTGTCTGCCCCTCGTTATCTGCCCCATTTAAGTTCTAGCCTGTTGCATTCTCCCTTGTCCGGTTTTGAATGTTCATCTTGTGCTACATGTGTTCCTGTCTGCCCTGTGTACCCCGTGTTGGAAGAATTAAAGACTGTGTTTACTGCGAATTCTCCTGTGTTTCCTCGTTCCTCGCTCTTCAGTGTAGTACAACCGTGACATGAATATATTGTAAAATGTAATTTATTCCTGTGATCAAAGCTGAATTTTCATCATTACTTTCATCATTACATCATTACTCCAGTCTTCACGGTCACATGATCCTTCAGAAATCATTCTAATATGATGACTTGCTGCTCTAGAAACGTTTCTGATTATTATCAATGTTGAAAACAGTTGTGCTGCCCAATATTTTTGTCGAAACCGTGATATTTCTTTTTGCAGATTTCTTTGAGGAAAAGAAAGTATAAAAGGACATAAAAATTAGTATCTTCTAACAATGTAAAATCTTTACTGTCACTTTTGATCAATTTAATGTGAATTAAGTTGCTGACACTGTTTCTTTAAACAGGATGGAGAGAATATTTTCTATCTGGCTATTGATGACATCGAGACGGATACAGAGCTTCTGATTGGCTACCTGGACAGTGATATGGAGGAGGAAGAGGAGGACCTGGAGGAAGACCAGGACATCAAAGATGAAGATGGGAACAGTAAAGAGAGCAAACACATCAGTGCAGAAACAGGTATGCATGTTTAGGGTCTTTCTAAAAGGGATTATGAATAATTTACACAGAAATGTGTGATTGGGTCTACATATAACAATCTAGATCACAATAATTTGCCATAAATAGAATGGCAGAAATAACAACAATAGTAGTAATGATAATTTGTTATGAATAAATGCACAGTTTGTTTTTGTTGTATTCTAATGGTCATGTAGTCATAATTGTGTCAAAAAGCAGCAATAAAACCATGATTACAAATAGGTTCCGCATTTCCGTTATCAGGCACTTAAAGGAATAGTTCACCCAGAAATGAAAATTTGCTGAAAATGTACTCGCCCTCAGGCCATCCAAGATGTAGATGAGTTTGTTTCTTCATCAGATTTGGAGAAATGTAGCATTGCATCAGTGTCTCAGCAATGGATGCTCTGCAGTGAATGGGTGCCGTCAGAATGAGAGTCCAAACAGCTGATAAAAACATAGCAATAATCCACACCACTCCAGTCCTTCAGTTAATGTCTTGAGAAGTGAAAAACTCTGTGTTTGTTAGAAACAAATCCATCAAGGCTTTTTTTTTTTACACTTTAAACTGTCCTTTAAATAGGAGTCCATAATAACACTTCCTCCAGTGAAAAAAGTCCATCCCCTCTTCATCAAACATCAAAATCCACCCACATCATAATTTAGAGCTGTTTTGGACTTTTCTGGTGTAAACCGTGCTTGATCAGTGCAGATTTCTCTCCTGATTCACACAACATATTATGTTGTATGATAAATATGGCAGCATTATATAAGCCAGTGCAAAACTAATATCACTGGTTTATAACTTGTGTGTAGAGCTGGTGATTAAGAAGGAAGATTACCCGTGTCTGCTGTGTGAGAGCAGCTTCCCCAGTGAAGAAGTGTTAGCTGAACATCTTCAGAGCCTTCATCAGAGAGGAAGTACAGAGGACAAAGAGTTCAAATGTCACTCCTGCGGAAAAGAGTTTCCTGTCAAACAGGCCCTGCAGCGCCAGTCAGTACCACACACACACACATACTCGCCCTCAGGCCATCCAAGATGTAGATGAGTTTGTTTCTTCATCAGATTTGGAGAAATGTAGCATTGCATCAGTGTCTCAGCAATGGATGCTCTGCAGTGAATGGGTGCCGTCAGAATGAGAGTCCAAACAGCTGATAAAAACATAGCAATAATCCACACCACTCCAGTCCTTCAGTTAATGTCTTGAGAAGTGAAAAACTCTGTGTTTGTTAGAAACAAATCCATCAAGGCTTTTTTTTTTTTACACTTTAAACTGTCCTTTAAATAGGAGTCCATAATAACACTTCCTCCAGTGAAAAAAGTCCATCCCCTCTTCATCAAACATCAAAATCCACCCACATCATAATTTAGAGCTGTTTTGGACTTTTCTGGTGTAAACCGTGCTTGATCAGTGCAGATTTCTCTCCTGATTCACACAACATATTATGTTGTATGATAAATATGGCAGCATTATATAAGCCAGTGCAAAACTAATATCACTGGTTTATAACTTGTGTGTAGAGCTGGTGATTAAGAAGGAAGATTACCCGTGTCTGCTGTGTGAGAGCAGCTTCCCCAGTGAAGAAGTGTTAGCTGAACATCTTCAGAGCCTTCATCAGAGAGGAAGTACAGAGGACAAAGAGTTCAAATGTCACTCCTGCGGAAAAGAGTTTCCTGTCAAACAGGCCTTGCAGCGCCAGTCAGTACCACTCACTCACTCACTCACTCACTCACTCACACACTCGCGCACACACACACACTCACACTCACTCACTCACTCACACACACACACACACACACACACTCACACACGCGCACTCTCTCTCTCTCTCTCTCTCTCTCTCACACTGCATGGCAGCTTATCAGTGTCTCACGTGTTAATGCTGATGTCCTGTTGATTTGCAGTGTTCTTCACTGTATAGAGAGCTCCGCTTCATCAGGAGATCCTTCGAAAGCTCATCAGTGTGTCCTGTGTCACATCACCTTCTGTTCAGAGTCCAGGTACATCAGTCTTGAGTCGTTTCCATTCTCATATGCACTGCCCACTGCTGTTTCCCTTTGAAACATGCCACATTACAGAAGAGACCATTTCATGTTGATTTTAAATAAAAATTGAGTGTTTGTGTGCAGTTTTGAGCAGCATAAAGAGGTGTGTAAAGGAGACGGTCGATTCATCTGTAAGGCCGAGAGCTGTGGAAAAAGATTCAGGAGTAAAGACGCCCTGAAGAAACACAAAGGCAACGTCCACACAGGTTGGTCACACACACACACATGCGAGAGAGAGACTTGAGGCGAGTGTGAAATTACCCGTCTGTAATGAGAGTCTAATCAGCGGCTGTTTAACATCTTCATTAATCTCTTCATTTCTGAGCCGCTCTTCATCCCCTCTGTCTGTCAGATAACCGCTAAGCGCTCCCTCCCTCTCTACACTCATCTTTTCACCAGACTCTCAGCGCGTCTGTCTCTCTGCCAGAAGCGCACACATCTGAGAAAATGAGTCGACGGCCCCTAATCGGCTGATGAAAGCGCGTATCAGAATGTTTTCAATATTATTGTCAGTAATTATAATTGGACCGTTTAGCCACATGCAAGTGAATCAGTCATTTGCAAATGAATCCAAACAGTAAGCTAAACGATTAACCGAGCGCTTGTGAAAGTGCTTACAGCTATATAAATGATTCTGTGTGTTTTGCTATAGTAAGGTGGGTTTTGCTGTTTCGAAATAAAGGTTTGACATACTATGTAGATGTAAACATTACAACTTAAATCTCTCTCCCTAGTCCAACCAAACCTCTTTTCCATTGTTCTGTTCTGTGCTTTCTGGACTGTAAATATCAGCTCTGAATCGGCTCCTCAAACATAATGTCCTCATCACGTCAAGTTTTCATAACTTGAAAAAACGTAAAATTAAGCTAAATGGTACAAAACAAGATATCTCATTATAATTAACAAATCTTTCTACACTTTGCATGCCAACAACTTGACTACTTTTATTTTACCCGTTTGTTGCAGTAAAGTTATTTTATTTACAATAATTTTTTGCTATGAATTTTATGTTATTTATCTAAATAACTTGTTTCTTTGAAGTTATTTAGTTAAATAATTATTCATCTAATTATTTAGATAAATTAAAGCCAACCCAAGAAGATGTTGAATTAAAGCACTCTGGATGTTAAAATAGTCTCACAACCACAACCAAGCATTTATGTTTGTGATGAAATTCAGTGGACGAAATGCAGTCATTTCAATAGAAATCTGTGCAGTCTGGAAATTCCCCATGCAGACTTTGCACTGGTCTTAAGTTTTTAAACTTAAATACATTTGCTGTGTTGACCATTGTATACAATGTATGTTCACTCACTCACTCACTCACTCACTCACTCACTCACTCACTCACACTTTGCACTGTTTTTAAACTTAAATACATTTGCTGTGTTGACCATTGTATACAATGTATGTTCACTCACTCACTCACTCACTCACTCACTCACTCACTCACTCACTCACTCACTCACTCACTCACTCACTCACTCACTCACTCACTCACTCACTCACTCACTCACTCACTCACTCACTCACTCACTCACTCACTCACTCACTCACTCACTCACTCACTCACTCACTCACTCACTCACTCACTCACTCACTCACTCACTCACTCACTCACTCACTCACTCACTCACTCACTCACTCACTCACTCACTCACTCACTCACTCACTCACTCACTCACTCACTCACTCACTCACTCACTCACTCACTCACTCACTCACTCACTCACTCACTCACTCACTCACTCACTCACTCACTCACTCACTCACT